ACGAGAGAGAGAGGAGAGAGAGAGGAGAGAGAGAAGAGAGAGAGAGAGAGAGAGAGAGAGAGAGAGAGAGAGAGAGAGAGAGAGAGAGAGAGAGAGAGAAAGCGAGAGAGAGACAGAGAAAGCGAGAGAGAGAGAGAGAAAAGAGAGAGAGAGAGAGAGAGAGAGAGAGAAAGAGAGAGAGAGAGAGAGAGAGAGACAGGAGAGAGAGAGAGAGAGAGCTATCATTTTCATATGATGAAAGTGGCCGACCTCTAGTACGGAGTGGGAATGAGTGGGAGAGAACAAGGAACGAATAGAGAAAATGAGAAACTAAGAAAAGAGAACATGGGGTCAACAAAGCGAAGAGAGGACAGGAAAAGCGGAGCTAATGAAGTAATGAAGTAGGGGTGGGGGGAGTAGGTACAAGAAGAAAAGTGGGGTGGGCGGCGAAAGAAAGAGCGGGGGGTGTGGGTGGGGGGGGAGGGAGGAGTTTGAAGAGGTAGCAGCGGCTCTTCCCGCGGCCTCCCGTCTCATTCGCGCTCCGGCACTCGAAGGGGTCGGTTGTCGCAGCTCGTCGCTCCCTGTGAGACTCGTTGTGTGCTTGGAGAATAGAACATTTATTTTTCCGCTGTTTAAAGTTCGTTATTGAAATCAATCTCGAGGGAAGACGACGGCGATGTGGGTGAACGCCAAAGGTAATGTTTTGCATCGTGAGGTGACTGGAGTTAATTCAATTTGATTTCTGTTTATCACTATTTTATGATTACGGTTAACTGATGCCTGATCGTTTACGGGACTGGTTGGCTACACGACCCGCTCGTATTTTACACGATAAACATTATATACATTATATATATATATATATATATATATATATATATATACACATACATACATATACATATACATATACATACACATACATACAACACACACACACATACATGTATATACATATACATATATACATACATATATATTTATTTATATATATATATAACATATATATATATATATATATACACATACATACACATATATATACATATATATACACATACATTTGTATACACATATATACATATATATACACACATTATATATATATATATATATATATATATATATATTTATATACATATACATGTATATATAGAGATATATATGCACATATATACACACATATATATTATATATATATATATTATATATATATGTATATATATAATATATATACATATATAAAATTATGTATATATGTAATGATATATGCCTTTGTGGGTGCCGGTCCCAAGCCCGGATAAGTAGAGAGGGTTGGTGTCCGGAAGGGCATCCGGCTGTAAAAACCCTTGACAAAACCAATATGAAATGAGCTTTAATAGGAAAATCAATGGTACATACTACAAAGCTACATACTTTAAATTTCCTGTTTTCTAAAGGGTGGTGGATATAAAACCGTTGATTTAATTTTGTGAGATATTATACAGTGAAATGCGATTTATGAACGATTTCAAGACACTTAGGAGTTAGTTGTTGGTGATTTCAACGCAGCATCAAGAAATAATTGCTTCTATTTTTCTTTCTCTCTTGTCCTCCCCACAACCCTGTCCCTCTCTCTCTCTCTTTCGTACTCCCTCTCTCCGCACCTAGCTCTCTCTCCTTCCTCTCTCCGCACCTACCTACCTCTCTCTCTCTCTCTCTCTTTCTCCATCATTCTCTCTCTCTCTCTTTCTCCATCATTTTCTCTCTCTCTCTTTCTCCATCATTCTCTCTCTTTTTCCATCATTCTCTCTCTCTCTCCATCATTCTCTCTCTTTCTCCATCATTCTCTCTTTCTCTCGCTTTCTCCACCATTCTCTCTCTCTCTCTCATTCTCCACCATTCTCTCATTCTCCATCATTCTCTCTCTTTCTCATTTTCCATCATTCTCTGTCTCTCTCTCTTTCTCCATCATTCTCTCTCTCTCTTTCTTCATCATTCTCTCTCTCTCTTTCTCTTCTCTTTCTCTCTTCTCTCTCTTTCTCTCTCTCTGTTTACATCTGGATATGGTGCCGGTGGCAGTAAAGTTGTAAATGGTATTTTCTTTAAGAATATTTATACATATAGATATTTAAATCACTTTAGTGAAGAAATGGTAATTGTGATTCGCATATCCAGCAGAGCATTTTGCATAGGTTATTAAAAATGATGATATGGCTCCGCCTCCGCGAACAATGACGTCATGAGCCCGACGCACCCGGCATCAAAACCCGAACACGAACTCTTCACGTCCGGAGTACAACCCGGGACGTCCGGGGTTTGGAGAAAAAGGAGATGACGCCCATATATCAATAGTACGAGAAAGGTCATTAATATTCCATCATAATAGATACATCAAAAGTTGACAATATTATCTTCCTTTATTGTTGTCGCTATTGTGTGCTTTTGTGTTCGCGGGGTGGGGGGGGGGATCAGACATCAATATGCTTTTCAGGAGAAAAGAAAAGAGGATATGTAATTATTATTTTTTCTTATTTCCTTTTTCTATCTCTCAGTGGTGGTTGAATAAACCGTTGATTTAATTTTGTGAGCTATTATACAGTGAAATGCGATTCGTAAACGATTTCAAGACACTTACTTAGTTGTTGGTGATTTCAACGCAGCATCAAGAAATAATTGCTTCTATTTCTCTTCCTCTCTTGTCCTCCCCCCATCCCTGTCCCTCTCTCTCTCTCTCTCTCTCCCTCTCTCTCCCCACCTACCTCTCTCTCCTTCTCCTCTCTCTCTCTCTCCCTCGCTCTCGCTTTCTCTCCTTCGCTCTCTCTCCTCTCTCCCTCTCCGATAATGATACACAATAATGATAACAGTGCTAACCATAACAATAATAACGATAACAACTATAATGACGAAAGCGAATACAGCTACAAACAATGACACAAACGGAAAAAACAACAAGATAATAAGGATGCTGAATTCCACCGCGAAAGACAACACAGCGGGGAAACGTGCAAGTGTTAGTACAAGAAGCGACCTCAGAATACATAATAATTTCGGTTGGCGGTTACGGAAATTTCGTCCGGCCAGAGTCACCGCGAGGAAGAAAGTGATGGAGGAGGAGGAGGGAGGAGGAGGAGGAGAGGAGGAGAGGAGGAGGAGGAGGAGGAGGAGAGGAGGAGGAGGAGGAGGAGGAGGAGGAGGAGGAGGAGGAGGAGAGTTGAGGTTGAGAGGAGGAGACGGAGGGATATAAGAGAGATAGGAAGGTTATGAGAAGAGGAAGCGGGATGGGGAGAGGGTTGTAGAGGGGAGAGGGAAAGAAAGGAAGAGAGGGTAGTAAGTTAAGAGGAAGGGGAAATGTTTGATAGAGAGAAAGAGAGAGGGAAGGTGAGAGGCAGAGATAGATAGATAGAGAGGGAGACATAGAGATAGAGATAGATAGAGCGAATTAAGAGGAAGGGGAAATATTCAATAAAGAGAGAGAGAGAGAGAGAGAGAAAGAGAGAGAGAGAGAGAGAGAGAAGAGAGAGAGAGAGAGAGAGAGAGAGAGAGAGAGAGAAGAGAGAGAGAGAGAGAGAGAGAGAGAGAGATATGGCATAAATATAAGAACGGGGAAGACGGAAGAAAGGAAGCGTCGAGGCAGAAGCGGAATGGAAAAAAATGGATAATGAAATTAATGAACAGACGCATGATTCGCCTGATGAGACGTTGGATGATAAATTAAGAGTAAGAGGAATGATGAATAATCCTTTATTCACTCATGGTAGGACGTAGACAGGTGGTAACAAGGATTAACTCCCTGAAGATTTGTATATCGTTCTCTTAATTATCTGGGATACAAAAAAAAAAAAGAATAAATGAATAGATGCATAGATAATAATAACAATTCACAGTTTTCACTTTAGAATTTCAATTTAGGAAAACTTTGGCAAATCTCACACAGGAAGACGCTTGTGACCTCAATGCTATTTGTATTTCCTTTTAAAATCAGGAAGGGAATTCTAGCAACCGACAAAGAGTTCACTGAAGCTACAGAACCAACACCAGTAATACTAACAGTAATACCAACCACGGCAAAAGGAGGTCAAGGCACCGTCCCCGCCGAAGCCCAGACACAGACTGGGTACTAACGACCAGGCGCCGCGGATATAACGGTGACCGTCGAGAATAACCTTGTACAAACCGGTACCGAAAGGGTTGGGATAACCGGGCGCGCTATGCTTTCGGGGTGAACTGCGGGTCCTCTGCGGGTTGGCTTGTTGGGTCGTTTGGGTAGTTTCGGTTTTGTAATTGTTATGTCGAGAGGGTTGGGGAAGGGGAAGGGGGGGGGGTAGATAAATGAGGGAGAGGGATGGGGAAGGAGGAGGGTTAGATAAATGAGGGAGAGGATGGGGAAAGGGGGAGGGTTAAATAAATGAGGAGAGGGGGGAAGGGGAAGGGGTAGATAAATAGATAAATGAGGGAGAGGGGGAAGGGGGAGGGTTAGATAATGAGGGAGAGGGAAGGGGAATGGGGGGGTAGATAAATGAGGGAGAGGGGGATGGGGAGGGTAGATAAATGAGGGAGAGGGGGAGGGGAAGGAGGCATGAGTCAGTGGAAATAGCTGACACAGGCGGGCCACTCTAGAAAAAAGTCCCGGGCAGAGGTAGACTTCGCAAATCTAACTGAACTGAACTGGGAAGGAGTAGGAGTGTGGCTGGAAGAAGAGGAGAGGAAGAGGAGAAAAAATCAGTTTCATGTCCGTCTGTCTGTATCTATATCTATTCATAATTCAGTTTTTATGGCCTTGATTATCTATATACTGTATATATGCATATAAACATATATATAATGTATATAAACATATACATATATTAACGCATATATCGGAAGTAAAGATCAATGATAAAGCCCCAGGCTCTAAGTTGGTCCACACTAGCCTTTGCTCATAACGAAAAAAACGAGAAAAAAATTAACAAGAAACTAGAAGGATGATAAATTAAAATAATCATTTAAATACTAAAACTGCAAACCAAAGAACTTCACCATTATCATGTAAAAGACATAGAAGCAGCAGCAGAATTTAACCAGCTCTTCGCACGATCCATCGCTCGACCGTTGAATCGAGCCATGCCTATTTAAGATGCAGGACTGATGACTCGGAACGGAGGGGGAATTCGGGGTCAGTCAGGCAGTGGAACAATTACCTGGGAATGAAATGGCGTGGAACAGTTACTTGGGGGAACGATTACTTATCCGTCTCTCCTCAATACAGTTCATGTGGAATGCTTTGACAGACTAGTATATATGTATATATAGTGTATTATATGTACACATAGAGAATGTATTATATATACTGTAGCGTATTAGTGTATATATATTTAACAAGAATATATAGAAATGAAAATATTAGAACGTACTATAAGGCAGAATATTATCTATACATAAACACGTAGGTATTGTGCCGACCATGTAAAAACCTCAAAGATTAAACAACCAGGCAAGTAAAAAGAAAAAAAAAAAACTAGAAAAAAATAAAAGCAAAGACCTACCGAAGCGACAACAAACGAAAAAAAAACAAAAAAACAATAAGCTATCATGCTACCCGTAATTATGATAAAAAAGTCGTATGGCAACTCAGCCGTTATGTGGACCGAATGGCGTCCCGTTATGAACAAACATCACATCCGACTCTGACTTACCCTTCCCTCCTCGGCCGCCTCCTCTGCCTATGTCTCACTTC